CCCTTCTGAGATAAACTTCAGGTGTGGTCACGTGTGTGAAGGCAGCGATGCAAAGGAAGCCTCCGCCAGGCCCGCCCCCAGAGGGAGGTGGGGACAGAATGGGGAAAGGCTCAGGTGACGCCATGGAGGTAAATCCATAGGACTTGGCAACTGTCTAGATACTGGAGTGCGAGGAACAGTGAGCAGTAAAAGCTGCCTCTGAGGTTTCCAGTCTGAGTAGGAGGATGGTAAGGCATGACCAGAAATAGAGCCAGCATGGCCAGGAGATGTCCAGATGGAGACGGATATACAGGGCTCCAAAACTGGAGCGGAGGCTGAGGAGGGCCCGGAGCTGCAGAGACAGGCATGAGGGATCACCGTCACCAGCCTAATGACCGCCGACCACTGAGGGATTCCTCTGCGCAGGCACGCCACGTCTAATCCTCACCACAACCCAAGGGGAGGTACTGTTTGCACTTTATCAGTGAGGAAGCATGGGCACAGCAAGGCTAAGCATCTTGCCCGAGGTCACACAGCTAGCAGGTGGCAGGAATGGGACTTGAACCCAGGTTCTGGGCTCTTCCTCAGCCACGCCAAAGGGGCTGGGTGTGCAGGGCCAGCAGAAGCCGCAAAACAGGGAGGGAGGTCAGAGCAGGGAAAGGAGCCCTGTGGAAATTCAGAGAGCTCACAGGTGAGGCCCCTTGCATGAATCCTGTCATTTGTCTTCCCCACAAATGAGAAGGGAACTGTTATTGTCATTTTACAGATGCAAAGAAATGAGGCACTGAGAAGTCAGTTGACTTCCCAAGGTCACGCAGCCTACTCCTGGTGGGGTCTGGATTCCAACATCAGCCTTTTGCCCTGGCCGGTTTGGCTCAGTGGTTAGAGCATTGGCCCATGGACTGGGGTCCAGGGTTTGATTCTGGTCAAGGGCATGTACCTAGGTTGCGGGCTCTGTCCCTGGTCCCAGTGTGGGGCACCTTCAGTTGATGTGTCTCTTTCACATCAATGTTTCTCTCTCTCTCTTTCTCCCCCCACACACCTTCCACTCTCTCTGAAAAGCAATGGAAAAAATATCCTGGGGGGACATTAAAAAAAACAACAGCAGCCTTTTGACCCCAGAGCCTGGCCTCTGTCATTCAGCATACAGTCTCCTTAGTGACATCACCCCCGCTCCACTGCAGAGGATCACTGGACTCAAGCCCCCTCCCCCCAGCAGCGGATGGGATAGGACTTTGCCTCCACTCCTCTCGAGCTGTTCGCCAGGAGCAAAGTCCAGAGCTAGCCCCATCCAGCGTCCCACTACCTGTTCCCTAGAGCCCCCAGGACACACGCCCTCCTCCAGGCCACCCTGGGCTTTTCCTGGGGCTCAAGCCCCTTCCTTCCCCAGAGCTCCCTGAGACCCAACATAGAGGAGAAAGAAGAGTGAGAGGAGGCGTTTGGCGGACAGAAAGGAAGGCTTGGGGTTCAGAGAGGTTTCAGGGAGAAGGGGGAAGTTAAAACAGTCCGTGGGAACCAGAGGAGACTTGGCCTTCCGGTGAGGGTGGGGGGATAAGGCTCTGAGATAAGCTGGGGTGGGGAGAGGGACAGGAGGATGGGGAAGACGGCGGTGCAGGAACACAGGGGAGAGAGGTCTGGGGGGCCCCTTTACCTTCAGGATCCATGTCAGCTTGGAGCTGCCCCGCTGGCGTCAGTGGCTCAGATCCAGTGTTCAGAGGCCTGAGGCTGGGGGTGGGGCCGGCAGAGGACAGGGGAAGGGCCGGTGTAGCCAGCCCCAGCCAGCCCTTCGAAGTTCTGGGGTGGGGGAGGGGCTCTCTCTGGTCTTCACACAGGACCCCTGCGGCTGTAGGTGCCTTGTCTGACTTCAGACTCAGAGGGGGGCTCTCTGTTGATAGGTCAGAAGTCCACCCCTCTCTGAGCCCAAGCCCTGCTCTCTCCACACACCCAGCTCCCCCAGGCTGTGAGGCTGTGAAACCTAGAATGTGCTCCCGGGTGAGGGCTGGAAAGCTCTGATGGGACACTAGGAAAATCAGGCCTTACACCTGGGTTCAAACCCTAATGCCGTACTTTTGATCTCAAGTACCTTTTCACCTTTTTCTACACCTCAGTTTCCTCCACTGTAAAATGGGATGGTAGTTACCTCATGGGTTCAACTGAGAATCAAGTGAGAAAACTCTGCTAGTAACGCAAGTAAAAACTCAATAAACGTCCATTTCCCTCCCCTTGCCTCTTCCCAAGGTACTTTAAGGGCATGGACAGATGAGAGCTAGGCTTCTGAAAGGGACAACTGGGAACTGCCATGACCTGTGCTGGAGCTCCAGGCAACATCCAGTCCCATTTCTTCATGGGAAACTGCTGGCTCAGGTCACTGGGAGCACTGACTGCCAATCCACAGACCTCTTCCCAGCCTTCTCCCATCTCTTCCTCTGCAGCACAAGACCCTGCCAGGATCGGGATTCAGGTGGGACAAACGAGGGACCTGGGGCACAAAACTGAAGGAGGCCTCACTCTCAAACTATTTTCTCCCTTTTCTCCCTGTATGTCATTTTCTCCGGATTTCTCTCTTAAAGGCTCTGTGCTGTCTTTTGCCTGCCCTTCTATGTCCAGCCCTCAGTGTGGTGGGACAGTTTCTCTTTTCCTCCTGGGCACCCAACTAAACTACATTTCTCAGCCTCTTTTGCACGGAAGCCACCACATGGCTGAATTCTGTCCCATGGAAGGTGAGCAAAAGTGAAAGTCTTCCCAGATCCGCCTCCTCTCTCCTTCCCAGGAATGAGGGAGCCACAAAATGGAAGGAGCCAGGGTCCCTGAATGGCATTATGGAAGGTCACCCTCCCTATGCCAGTATTGAACTGTTACGTAGGCAAGGAAAAAATTCCTGAGTTATACCCCTGAGTTTGGGGGGTTAGTTGCAGTAGTTACCCTGCCTGCCTAACACACTAAGATTCTCCACAGCTCTCTCCTTTCTCATCCTGCACAGTGAATGCTACAGTTTATGCACTTAGCCATCTCTACCATTATTTAAACTGTCACCTAAAATCAGATGACTCTTGCCCTGGCCGGGTAGCTCAGGTGGTCAGAGCATAGTCCCCAAATGCCAAGTTGTGGGCTCGATGCCGAGTCAGGGCACAAACAAGAATCAACCAAGGAATGCATAAATAAGTGAAACAACAAATCAATGTTTCTCTCTCTCTCTAAAAAAAATTAATAATAAATAAATAAATAAATATTTAAAAATAAAGTAAAATCAGATGACTCCATATCTCTCACTCTGACATTCCTCCTAAGATCAAGGTCTCTATTTCTAACCATCTCTAAACATCTCTCCTAACACTTCTAAAAATGAACTCATTATGTTTGCCCCCCAAAATGCTCACCTCTCTGCATTTCCACATAATGATGTCAGCATCTCAGTCTCCCAAGATAGAAACCTTGAAATCTGACCCCCTTCTCTCCCCTATCACCTCACCAGCCCATCAGTCCTAAACTGCATCCTCCGAATGAGTGTATTTCTGACCTGACCTCTTCTTTCACCTTAGGCCGCACTCCCACTAAATCTAACTTGGACTAGAATACGCCCTTGTCTTGGGGTCACACTGCCTTCAGGCCATCCTCCTGGATGCCAGGTTCACTCAAAAGACAGATCTGAACTTGCCACATGTTTACTTTTATTTATTTTAATCCTCACCAAGGATATTTTTTCCATTGCTTTTCAGAGAGAGTGGAAGGGAGGGAGACAGAGACAGAGAAACATGGATGTGAGAGAGACACATCAATTGGTTGCCTCACTGGGGCCAGGGATCAAGCCTGCACCCTAGGTAGGTGCCCTTGGCCAGAATCAAACCCGGGACCCTTCAGTCCATGGGCCAATGCTCTAACTGCTGAGCCAGGGCCACATGTTTACTTAAAAACCATCGTTTGTTCATTCATTAATTCATTTATCTCTCCATTCAGTAAACACATATTAGGTAGCTACTATGTGACAGGCCCGGGACTCTGGAGCCACAAAGATGACACGTGGACTCGGAGGGGCTACACTTTGAGTGAAGCACACCTTCACATAATTTCAGCCAGGTGTTTGTGCTGTCACTCGAGGTGCTGTAAGAGTGGAGGAGAAATATGATGTCTGTTTGGGCTGGAGGCAGCAAGGGTGGCTTTGAAAAGGCAGTGACGTTGAGCTGAATCTTGACGGTTGAGGAGGAGTTTGGTGGGAAGTCAAGAAGTGTGTGTGTTCTCTCTCTCCCTTTCCCTTCCTCTCTCTAAAATAAATCAATTTAACAAAAGTGTGTGTGCTATGTGGCAAGCTGGGGGTGGGCTGGTGTCAGGCAGAGTATGTACAAATGCAGGAGCAAGCATGTGGCTTTCCCCATGGCCCATACCTCCTGGGATCTGGGCCATGGTCCAGCTAGGCTGTCCTGACCCCACAAGTGGAGCAGGCAGGTGTGAGCACCCTAGGGGGCTGAGGCCCACAGCCACCCATTTGCAGCTCGTTGTGGGAGCAAGTAGATTTTTCTCCAGAACACCTGGGGTTTCTGTTGTTTAATGTCTCTACCCCAAACCTATCCCGAGCAGGACAGTCACCCACTGCGTAGGCTCCTCAACCAATTCCCTCCTAGAGTTTGAAAGAGCTGGAGGGATCAGAGCTGACAGGGGTCGCTTCTGCCTGAAGCCCCCAGGTAGCCCATCCTCCACAGGTCCTGCCTGCGAAGGGCCAAGGGGCAGAAATGGGGATGCAGAGGAAAACTAGGTGCAAATGTCCATTTTTAGAAATGAAATGTCCTAAAACCATACATTGAGGTCCCGTTCTTAAACGTGAATTTATAGGTTTCTCAAGACCTTCCCCCACCCCAGATTCTCTTCCATCTGGAATTTTCATTCTGGATGACAAAGATTTATTTATTTATGTATTTAATCCTTACCTGAGGATATTTTTTCCATTGCTTTTCAGAGCGAGTGGAAGGGAGAGAAAGAAACATCGATGTGAGAGACCTCAATTGGTTGCCTCCCACACCCCAGCCGGGTCTGGAGCCTGCCACCGAGGTACATGCCCTTGGCCAGAATCGAACCCGGGAGCCTTCAGTCCACAGGCCGATGCTCCAACCACTGAGCCAAACTGGCCAGGGAGACAAAGCTTTAATTTGTAATCATGATCTTAATGTGCACTTTTGACACTAAATAGAAACATGTATTTTTATTTATATTTTAAAAATATATCTTTATTGATTTGAGAGAGAGAAAAGGAGAGGGAGAGAGAGAGATAGAAACATTAATGATGAGAGAATCATTGATCAACTGCCTCCTGCAGGCCCCCAACCGGGGATGGAGCCAGCAACCCGGGCATGTGCCCTGACCGGGAATCGAACCCCGGTTGTCTGGATCCTAGGTCGACGCTCAACCGCTGAGCCACGCCTGGCCTGGCGAAACATGTATTTTAAAATGTAAGATGAAGACTAACATACTGTATATGATTGTGTGTGAATCCTATTATTTAAGAAACTAGAATGTGCTGGTAATTAGCTTTTGCAAGAGAGAAAAAATGTTATTTTACTGTCTGGGCAAAAATATTTTCAACATTTTAAATTATCCTCTCTTGCCTAAGAAAAGCGTGTGGCGTGTTCAGGGAGCTAGCTACAGGGACCTGATGAGGCAGGGGGGCCCAGGACTGACCAGGCAGCGGTGGGCAGAAGGGAAGCAAGGCCAGATCTTTTTTTTAACTTTTCTTTTTTTTTAATATGTTTTCATTGAGGAAGGGAGAGGGAGAGAGATAGAAACATCAATGATGAGTCATTGATCTGCTGTCTCCTGCACGCTCCCTACCGGGGATCGGGCCTGAAACCTGGGCATGTGCCCTCACCTGGAATCGAACCTCGATTTCGAGTGCTGAGCCATGTTGGTTTTGCAAGGCCAGATCTTGAAGGGGGTCTTATACTGCATGCTAAGGAAGGAGGGCTCTATCCTGACAGCCTTAGGGAATGCACAGGTAATCTGGACAGAGTGGCCTTTATTTATTTTTAATTGATTTTTAGAGAGAGAGGAAGGGAGAGGAAGAGAAAGAAAGAAACATTGATCAGCTGTCTCCTGCACCCCTCCCCTGGGGAATCAAGCCCAAAACCGGGGCATGTGCCCTGACAGGAAATTGAACCGACAACCTTTCTGTGCCCAACTAACTGAGCCCACCACCCAGGACAGAGTGGCCTTTTAGAAGTGTCACTGGGACTGCCATGAGCAGAGGGTGGAAGAGACTGGGGTCAGGAAACCAAAAGGGAAGTCTCAGCAGGACCAGGCCAGGGGCGATGGGGCCTGGAGAGAATGAAGGGCTCCCAGGGACTGCAGAAGAAGAATCTGCTGGACTTGGCACCAGGAAGCGAGGACAGAGGAGAGAGTGGGGCTTGAGGGTGATTCCGTGTGTTGTGAATGTTGGCACAGCTTCCCTGCTGTCCAAAAGCAGGGCATTCCCATCAAACCTTCCCTGAGCCGAAATGGGCCAATGCGAAAAAGCAATTACCATTCATTTATACAGAAAAATCCGGGGGCATTCCCAGAATCAAAAAATAACCTGCCAAATCATAGCAAATAATACAGAAAACCTAACATGACACTAACATATAGTAAAAGCAGTGACACGCTGGCTGCTCGAGGTGTGCGCTGCCCCTTTAACCACCGGCCACAAAACAAACGCTGACTGCTGTTTTCTCCTCTTGCCTTTTTTTTAATTTAATTTTTTTATTGTTGACAGTGTTATAGATGTCCCCCATTCCCACCCGCCTCCTTTGCCCCCTCCACCC